CAGGTTGGTGAGGCTCTGGCGGGGACGGTGGCTGGCGGGAACGGTCGCTGGCGGGACGGGGCTGTGCCCGGCCCGGCCCGGCCCGGCCTCCTGTGGAGGGTGTCCGGGACCAGGTCCGGAGCTGTGGCCGGGGCTGGAGCCGAAGCCGAGCGATGGGGGGGCCTATCCCCTGCCTGTGGAGGGCTCGGCCCTGTCCCGGGGCGCGGCCTCAGGATGATGGGAACGCTCCCAGTGCGGCTTGGGTGAGTGCGGTGGGGTCACCGGCGGCTCCGCACCTCAGCAGCTCGGTCCTCCTCCCCGGGACAGCTGAGAGAGAGCGGAATGAGCAAAAATGAGGAAACGCGTGAGTTGAAATAACGTCAGTTTAACCGGTGAAGGAAAGAGGAAGGAAGCGCTACAAGCGCTGCATAGGCCGTCATTCAGCACCTCCCCGAGCAGGCGATGCCTGGGCAGCCTCCGAGCGATGGCCACCCTGGAAGGCACATCCCAGCCCTCGCTTCTTATTGCAGAATACGACACAGAGGACGGAGTGTCCCTTTGGTCAGGTCCCGGCTGTCGCCTGCCAGCCGCATCTGCACACACAGCCAGGTGTTTGAGCCCTGCGATCGGGGACCGTGCAGCCTGATGCCTGATGAGGGGAGAATGTGTTTTGAAATGACAAAGGGTAGGAGCTTTTCCTTAGACAACGGATAAGTATACTGAAACAAGACAGCTGAGGAAAAAGGCTTTTAGTCTTAAAAAATTTTCAAGGGGCAAGTTCTTTACTGAAAATGAACGAACACCTCGTTTGTGCAGTCACTCTGTAGGTCTGCATTCTGGTGAAGTCACATGGTTTGCACGGGAGGATCTGGTGTTTTCATTCAAAATCAGCTTAGTCGTTAACTGTGGTGCAGTAACATCCTGAGGAAAAATCAGCTTGTGTGATCTGTATTTGAACTACTCAAAATAAGTTATTAAGCCAGCAATTCAGTTCCTGGTTACATCATAATAATTATGCTGCAGTTTTATATTTAGAACTTGATAGAAAACTGGAATTTAGGAATATTTGTTCCTTTGTGTGTTGTTTTTCCTTTATTTTTTAACTTTCTGTGTTGGCCCATGGGATCATTTTATGTGTTACTCTTAAATCTTACTTATCTGCTTTAAAATATTAGGTCTAGACTTTAAGTTTTGTCTTCAATTTTTCAGAGGCGGGTGTATAGAACAACAACACATGTACCACAGGAACTGGGACAGATCATGGACTCAGAAACATTTGAAAAATCTCGTCTCTATCAGCTGGACAAAAGTACTTTCAGCTTTTGGTCAGGCCTCTATTCAGAGGTTGAGGGCACTGTGAGTACCTTTCATATGATATTTTTCATGTACTCAAACTGTGAAGTGCTTTGGTTCTTAGTGATCACATGCAGCTGAACCATTGGCATTCTGGTGTCTTACAGTAAACACTGAAATTTACATTCTGTTTTTGTTTGTAGCTGTATTTGCTATACAAAAACAAGTAATTATTCAGAAAGCATGTAATTTCTTTCAGCAGTGCTGAGTCATGCTGCACAACTACAATGTTAGCTTACATTTTAATTATATTCTATAATAGTTTCCATTGAAAAATAATTAAGCAATATGAGAGTTGTTTTAAATTGTTAAAATACAGACTTTTCCCTGTGTTTGGAGGAATGCAACTACTTTAGTTTTTGGATAAAATTTAAGTAGAATGTAAAAAGAGCAGCCTGTGAGAACAGAGCGTACCAGTGGGTACTTCTGAAGTATAAGAAGAATTACACTGCATTTACATAGATGAAAAAACAGAACTGTTAGAACAAAATATTTATGTGTGTGATTTACAGTCTTAGGAGAAGAGAAACCTCTTCTAACTCACTTCTGAAATGCATTGCTCATCAGTAGCACAAAAAGGAATCCTGAAGTGCTTGGCATTGCAAAGTAAAAAAACTGATTTATACATATAGTGATGCATCAGTTGCTAAGAAAGCAAATATGAGATATTTACAAGTTGAGCTGTATGAGAAATGCCAGGCCTGGCTGTGAGCTGCCGTGAGCACTTGCTTCAATAGCTCTAGCTTGGCATTTCTTTGGTGGTGGTGTACCCCAAATGTTCACTCCTTGTTCCTTGGCAGCCAGTATGGCAGGAGATGCTGGGAGCAGACACAAGGAGGAGACCATGAAGCTTTCTTCAAAATATCTGTAGCAACTCCAGTACTGAAAGTGGAACTGGGTTTTTCTCTGGGAAGGGAATGCAGGTGAACTTCTGCTCTAGGAGAGGAGGGCAGCTCCTCTGCAAGACATATGGATATATGTATATTTATATATATACACACACAACCACAGGGCACACGGGCTTTAAGGTCTTCTGAAGATACACTTTATGTCTGAGCCAATACAGCTGCAAAGTCTACAGAAAATAGGCTTGGAAATATGCTAGTATTTCACAGGAAAAAAAAATTAATTATCTGCTCTCTACTTCTTTAAAGTAAAAATTAATTATTGCCAGATATTCCAGGCTTGTTTTATCACTGTCAAAATCAGAGGGGTGGCAGAAAGCTAATTATAAAACTTGCCTTATTCACCCTTAACAGGTTCTTATCATGCTGAAATTTTAGTAGACTAAGATGACAGTGTGTTTCATACTGCCTCTGTGGTATGTGGTTTTGTTTTTAAGATGATTCTCCTCTGTGGAGGAATTCCTTTTCTGTGGAAATTGTCTGGTCAGATCTCTGGCCGTGCTGGGTTTGGACCAGAATATGAGGTAAGTAGGCTTTAAATTTCTTTGAAAGTATTTTGTCCCTACTGCAATAATAATTTTTATTTTTAAATTGGTATTTAGTTAAAAATTAGATTTAGCTAAGCTGTAACACAGTAAAAATAACACATAATTCCTGGTGCACACAATGACTATGTGATTCTGAGAACTGGTAACAGTGAATTAGCTTGCTTTTAAATTAGCTTACTAATTAAAACAGCCTTATATGTTGAAAGCAAAGTCTGGTATCTGATTGAGTCAAATAAGGTGGTGGGCTGGGGTTTTGGGAGCTCTTTATTTGAGTGTTTCCTTTTTACTAATCCTAGAATTGATCTACCTGCACACTGAAAGGGTAAGAAATTTGAGTCTACTGCTTATGTTACCTTTGTGCTGTAGATGAGGCATGTATCCAGATTTGTGTTCCAAATCCTTAGTAAGCTATTATAGTGAGCAATAATTAGTCATCATGTACAAGCTAATTCTGTGAATTTATATAGCATCATAATCTTCTAACCGGTTTCAGTTAAACCACTGACCTAAAAGCCATTTTTAACACCCAGAATATTTGTTAGTATTTTGCTTTTTAGATTGTTCAGTCATTGGTATTTCTGCTGCTTGCAACACTCTTCAGTGCAGTGACTGGTCTCCCATGGAGTTTATATAATACATTTGTCATAGAAGAGAAACATGGCTTCAATCAACAGGTAATGCAGAGAGCACTTGTACTGACCAAATTGGTTCAGATTGGTTAGACAGACTGGTCCTTTAATGAATGTGCAACACAAAATAATGGTTTGGGTCAGGCTTTACTAAGGAAGAGTGCATCTGCATGGGCTTGAGTCTGTGTGGTTGTAAGGAGCTACTAGGGGAGCTCCTCTTTGAATGACTCTGATTTTCTTATGACACTGGCATTGCTGTTTTGCCATTTGTCTTAACTGAAGGGATCAGTTCACTAACCAGAGTGGCATGTAATATTTACATTGATATATCACTGATATAATTTTTCCTTTCTTTGCAGACGCTGGGTTTTTTTTTTAAGGATGCTATCAAGAAGTTTGTCGTGACTCAGTGTATTCTGTTGCCAGTGACATCCCTTCTGCTTTACATTATTAAAATAGGGGGAGACTACTTTTTTATCTATGCCTGGCTCTTCACATTAGTTGTTTCCTTGGTGAGTATGAAAGGATGTTTGGGTTTCTTCAGACTCCAGCTTCCTGGCATGGCTCAGCATGCTGAACATGGCTGAAAGGAAATGAAGAAAAATCTAAATCTCCTAGGAATTTTAATGTCTACAAACTTTAACAGAGTGTCTTGCTCTCAATGTACTTGTTCAGGAATAATAGCTCATATTAGTTGTCTATATTATTGTCATCTATATCTAATCTAGTTAGTAATGGAGTGTCTTCAGCAATTGAAAGATAAGCACTGATAAAGCTTTAGAATAGGTACTGGAAATACTGTGTGGTGATTTGTTTTCCTTTCTCATAAGTATAGAGGTGAGAACCAGAACATGTGCAGCTGAAGCCATGTTCCTCTCTCTCGCTCTCCTATCACAAACTAGTTTTTTATTTTCGCTCTGCCTGCACCTTCCTGCTGAGCTGTCCACATAGATTTTGTCCTGAGGTGCTACAGATACTTTAGAACTAGATATAACAGGGGTTGGTCTATCTTTTATACAACAAAAGCTAGAAAATAAAACATATTGGCAGAGCTGCAAACTTCTGTATTGAAAGAACACTTAGCACTCCTGGCTCACTCTTCTCCTCTGGGCCCTCTCCACCCCTGAGGGTTAAGTGCATGTTTAGACAATTGGTGTGTTGCCACCTCATTGCAATTTTATAGAATTTCAGGCCTTATTGTGTTTTAACAGCCTTTGAAATGCAGAATCATCCTATGACATATTACATTTACCCTTTAGAGCCTAGTTTAGGGAAAAATTCCAGTTCCATACCTCTGTAATCAGAGTTAGAGTTGCATCCTCCTACTAGTCTGTTATGCCTGCTGATATCAAGGCATTACACAAAGATCTGAGATAAAACCTTAAAATTAGTCCCCACATGCTATATGGTCTGAAACAGTATTATGGACTGAAAAGCTGATTTCTACTTTATGAAATACCCTCCTACACCTTCTGCAAAATATCTGCAGAGGTTTAAGCCCCTAAAAATTGCAGTAACAAAAATAACTCATTTTTAGTCGTGTTTTATATTAATGCCCTCGCTTGCTGTGAATTTGCAAAAGTCAGTTTTTCTGATTTTCATTTTCACTGAACTTTTTCAACAGTGCACACACTGTCAAAATTCCACATATTTTTTTTCAGTGAAATAAAACGTATCAAGATCATTTTGAAGTTAATGTTGATGTCTATTTGCCTCTCACATCCTGTTCCTTTTTTGCTAACCAGAATTTAAACTTTTAAAATAAATAAATAAAAATAATTTTGTGGTGATCCAGAGTGTGAGGAAAGGAAGTTCAGTTTTCCTTTCCATCACTTTATTCTAGTTCTGGCTTTCTCAACTGGGCTGCAGCTGATGCCAGTTTGAAAAGATGCAGGTGCACTGTAGTGATGGTTTTAGGTCAAGGCTGTTAGTCATTGTAGAGCCAGAGGCATCAGGCAGACAGCTGCCTCAGCCCTGCAGTCAGCTGGGACATGGAAAGAAAAGAGGGGACATGAAATTTCTTGCCTCTTTTTAAACAGTTGTTTTGCAAGTTAGTAGGAATTAGTCCCACTTCTTCTATCTCCTGGTTCCTTCATGTCTGCAGCTGAGTATGAAACACTTCAGAGCTTTCCAGGATTGGTGTAGTGCGTGGAAGTGACAACTTGGCAATGATGAGCTCCCAGCTGCCCAGAGGCCTTGTCCTCTGCACTGTTCACACCAGTTCTGCTCAAGGTGTTGATGTAGGCTGCGTAGGTGGTTTGTACACAGTATGCTGAACTGTGGACTGGCCACCAGACAAAGCAGCCCATAGAGAGCCTGGCTCTAGATCCCACTTCATACAGGAAGCTTTCCCAAGTGTTTTTTCTGAAACTGTGCCCTCTTTTGGAACTTTTTGTTCCACCTTTAGTAGTAAACACATTTGCATGCCCTGTTCTTAATATCTGCATGTGTTTGCAGGTGCTTGTTACAATCTATGCAGACTATATTGCACCTTTGTTTGATAAATTCATTCCGCTTCCGGAGGGAGAGCTCAAGCAGCAAATTGAAACAATGGCAAAGAGCATTGACTTCCCATTGACTAAGGTGTATGTTGTTGAAGGTGAGGTTTTGTTATTTTTTTAAATGAAAAGGCTTTGTCATTTTAAATTTGTGGGGTTTTAGCATTGATTGTGGATGCTGTAGTAGGGCAGTTGCTTGCATTACTCAGATACTGCAATACTAGCCAAGGTCTGTAGCATTTTCCTGGTCTTTTTCCTGAAGCTCAATTCACAGCCTGAACTCATCCTCTGGTTGGAAGCATTTTCCTGGGTCTATGGAGTATGGAAATACACAGCTCAGTCAGGAGTGGAAGCACAAAAGAATTCAAGATTACAGTTTTAGAACTGTGAAACAAAGGCAATAGCTTTTTAATTTTTCTAGTTTCAGTTTAGCCGTGTCTCAAAGTCCTTGGTAAAACAATTGAAAAAGTATTGAAAATTAAAAATACCTACTTCTTGAGATGTTCACAAAGATGGTTTCTTATACTGTATCTGGATGGTCTCACACCTTCTACTTGAGACTAATTTTTTTCACTTTCTAATACTGACTTTCTCATCTTTTTTTCTCAGGTCATGGAATATGACATGGAGCATGTCAGCTGCCATGTAACTTCAATTCCATGTTCATGGAGTACTTTACTGTTTGACATTTCCGCTATTACTTATTTTGCTCCTGTCTGAACTTGATTTCAGGGGCTTTCCCAAGTTTTTTTTGGTTTGTGCACCACCTGTGATGCTCAGAGGTGTTTTTATTTACTTTGTGAAAGCAGTATGAGATTGCATAAAGACCTAAAATGATAGAAGTTTGATGTTGGAGAGGGTGGTGAAGGCTTTATCTAGCCTAGAACCTGTGACTCAAAGCTTTGGACTGGTCAAATCCTGCCAGTGTTGTCCCTCAGTGCTGCTCAGAACCACTGACACACTTGGGACACATGAAACTCTTCTCTTTTCAAGCCAAGCTAAAGCTTTACAAGCTTGAGAGTCAGTGCAGAGGTTTGTGCTGCAGTTTCCCCAAATGCATTGCTGGCTGTGTCCCAGCTTTTAACAATGGGAAAAGTACCATGAACCAGTTGTTGGTCCTGCAGCCCCTGTGCAGTGTCCTGCACTGACCTCAGCATGTCTGCTTAAGTGGCAGGGGACTTCAGTGGAGGCTGCCAAACTTCCAAATACTGCCCCTCCTCACCCCCTCCCCACTTTAATTTTTTTTTTTTTTATTTTTTTTTATTTTTTTTTTTAGAATTCTTAAGAATATTAAGCCAGCACCATTCCCTTTTGATACAGGTGATTGACTGTGGGAACATCTTTTTACTGGTGTTTTTCTGCATTCTCTTTTGGCTCTTCCCACTCTAGAACTAACTTCTTAGTAAAATGTGCCACCAAGTCCTTTGCCTTCAAAGTTCATTCTGCAAGAGGCAGATTACAAAGGTTTTTTCTACACCAACATTTAGTGAAGGATGAAGGTTTTTATTGCATACAGATGAAAGGAAACCTTACTATCCTGTTGCTATTCAGATTTCTTCACTGGGAAGGGACCAGATGCTGAGACGTCGTACTCTGACCAGTGTTTTCCTCTGTTAATCTGTTGTGGTTTGATGCTGAAGGTCACAATGACCATCTACAGGTTGACTTCCAGTGGAACAAAGGATATTTGTGTCCTAAGAGGTTTATGCAGTTCATACATTTATACTGAGTGTTTTAGGGCAGGTGCCTTCCAACTTACCCTTTGCTGCAAAAAACCCAGGGGATTCCTCTTCTGCTCTCATAGAGACAGCTTTCAATCCTGATGTTGCAACAGCTTCTGTCCATAAGAAAAAATAAGCTTTTTAATCTTATTTAAATTATTAATAATAATCTTATTATTAACTGAAATTCTCCACATTTCATGGAAAGAGATGAGTTTCTTGGGCCTAGGTTTATTGACAGCAGAAACAATTCATGACTGACCTGATCTAGATAAAGGTAGCTGTACAAAATGGCCTATTGCAAACAAAAATAGTATTGAGGAACTGTGTTATCTGTAATTTAACTCTTCTTATCTGTTTCTAAAGTCTTCATATTTATCTGTTTCTGTTCATTTTTGCTGGCACATTTGAAAGAATTCTACATAACTTGGCACAGGTTCTTTGCCTGGAGCAGTGTCAGTGTAGAATGCTCTTTCCACTCTAAATCTGAAATTGCAATAGAACTTGATTTTCTTCTTGGACATTAGATGTTTACAACTACTCTTATGGTTTTAGTGCTTTTAGTGATTACATGCTACATTTCTCTATGGGAGTCATCATTGCTTAGATTTTAGAATATGCCTCAGCTTCCAAACAGATCTGCTTGAGTTTGGCTGCTGTTCATTTGGGGACTCTGAGAATTCCTCTGGAAGAATCTGGTCTGTGTTTGTGGGTGCATGGGATTATTCAGATTTAAATTATTATTCAGTCTTTAAATTTTCCCCATCAGGTTCTAAGCGTTCCTCCCATAGCAATGCTTATTTCTATGGATTCTTCAAGAATAAGCGGATAGTACTCTTCGACACACTCCTGGAAGACTATTCTGCTTTGAACAAAGAACCAGCAGAAGGAGAAGATGGTGAGAATGAAGAAACAAAGTCTAAAACCAAAGTGAGTTTTTCCTTCATTGTGTTGTTTATATTAATTTCTTGGTGAGATATTCCCTTGTGTTTTCTAATGTATTTTAAAGGTCCTGAGTAAGTTGCTAAAACCCAAACCCTAATGATTTCAACACCAAAGTATGCCTGGTTTGCTAATTGGAATTTCTGGGGCTGTGTGAGTTGTGCAGATAGCACCACAGACTGTAAAAACCCACAGGGCATTTAGCAAAACATTAGTTCCCTGAATGTAAAAACTAGATCTTCCTTATAATTCTTTGAATAAGGGACCTGTTCAGGATTTTAGCTCATCAACTTTTGGGACTGCCATAACAAAGCTTCCCTTTGAAGGAAATACTTTTAATTCTTTGTGTGTCATTTGCATGCCTTTTACTGCATGCAGTTTTTGGTGTGGGAGGCACAGACAGAGTGCACATGTGCATCCTCCCATGCCCTGGTCAAGAACAGGATGGTGGCCTGGCACTGGCCTCTCCTTTGAAGTGCAGCTGCACATCATGAGTCTGCTGGAACAGCTGTTGTGGCCTCAGAAGAGTATGACAATGACTAAAGCTAATAGAATACTTTCTGAATAACCTGAAGGAGTTATTCTGAGAAAAACAAATGGCCTTGTGCAGCCTATAAGGTTAGGCCAATGTCTAGATTGTTGTTCAGTCCAGCTTCTGTTCCTTGACACCACAGTAGTGGTGCCCAGGGTTTTGTTTGGAAAATATAACAAGTGGGTGGTGAGAGGAGAGGATGTTGAGCTCACCTGATCTAGTCATAATGAGAGTCTGTATTCCATTTCAACAGGTTCTTCAGCCTTTGTGTTTGCTTCTGACTTGCTAATGGATCTTTGAAGGTGCAGATGTCCTTCCTAATTATAGCTTTAAGGCTATATAGGGCTTTTTGAAGAGGACAGTTCTTTTTAAAAGGAGCAGTACTGCCTTGGGAGGAAGGCTATATGTTAAGTGTTGAAGGAAAGTAGAAACAGGGCTTTGCTTTGAATTCTCCTCTGAAAGTCTGCAGCTCTGAATACCTGTTTCCAGTGTAATGCTTTCCTTGAGTAAAGAAACAGGATGAGAAGGGATAGGAGAGTGTTTGGAAGGCAAATCTTCCAGAGTCCTTTCAGGTTTGCATCAGTCTGCATACACAGAAATAAGAGAACACCACCTTATAGTAGAAATCTTAACCTTGAAAGATTATATTCCTGTAAGTATCTTTGTGAAAAAAGCTCAGCAAGAAGTTATATGTGTGTGTTTCTGGTATTAGAGGGAATGGCCTGATCTAGGGACACTTAAGTGATCAAGGAAAAAGCAAATGAGTAAAATTTATTTGGTTCTGTTCAGACATACCTGACAATACTTCTGCTTTGTTGTTCCCTCAGAATAAGAAACAAGGATGTAAAAATGAAGAAGTTCTGGCTGTACTTGGTCATGAATTGGGTCACTGGAAACTAGGTCATACTGTCAAAAATATAATCATCAGCCAGGTAAGTTATTTTAAACTGGTTTTTTTCCCTGGAGCATCTGTAATTACAGCTGTTTCCAAATGCCCTCTTCCAGATTTGTTAGTGTACATTCACCTGATACACTGTGTGACAGAGAGTTGGTCTGGATCACAGCCATCCTTCTTTTCTGTTGCTCCTGTTTCAATAACAAACAATATTCTGGAACCTTCCATTTTACTCTAAAAAGACCAAACAACCACTTGGATAGCTAATCACCCTCTCTAGAAAACTTGCTATGGCATGGTCCTGCCTCTTGGCTCTGAAAAGCCAGGCAGGCACAATGCTTGTACACAACCCTGCACAGCTTAGATGGAAGCATGGATTGTTTCCAGGAACAGAAGCACAACACAGCACAGACACATTCTGTTTAGCTTTAAACTTTTCATAACCTATGCTTAATTCCAAGGAGATGGGTTCTATCCCATACTCCCTCCTCACTTCTTGCCTTTTCATCTCCCTTCATTACTTGTTTTTTGCTCACTGACAGAAAATAATTGTTCTTCTACTGTTGCATTTTCAGAAAGTGGGTAAAGACCGACTGTTTGTTCCTCTCTGTATATTAGTTCAAAAGTAATCTATTTGTTTTTTTTTTACAGTGGCATCCATGTGCAAATTTATAATGTGATGTTATGTAATGACTTACCCTAATCAAGAATGGTTTTTTTTTCTTTTCTCCAGATGAATTCCTTCCTTTGCTTCTTCTTGTTTGCTGTGCTAATTGGTCAAAAAGAACTCTTTGCTGCATTTGGTTTCTATGACACCCAGCCTACCCTGATAGGCTTGATGATTATTTTCCAGTTCATTTTTTCACCTTACAATGAGGTAAATTGTTTTCAAGACATAGACACTGAAGTATCATCCTATTTAAATAATAATTCTGTTTTGTCAGGGGAAGTTTGAAGGGGCTGTATTGATAATCAGGCTTAGTGCTGCATGTTGGGTAGCACTCCCAGTTTCTGGTGTGGCTTAGATAAAGCTTAATGAGATCAGTCTGCAGCCACAGTGATGTGTGGGATGTGGGAAGCTAGATGTGGTATTTACTGGCACTGAAGGAATCTGCAGAGAGCTGAATTTTAAAATAATTTTTAATGCATTTCTCTCCACAGGTTCTCTCATTTTGTTTGACTGTATTAAGCCGACGATTTGAGTTTCAAGCAGATGCATTTGCCAAGGAACTTGGGAAGGCTAAAGACCTATATTCTGCTTTGATCAAGCTAAACAAAGATAATTTAGGATTCCCTGTTTCTGACTGGATCTTTTCAATGTGGCATTACTCCCACCCACCCCTTTTAGAAAGACTTCAGGCCTTGAAAGATGCAAAGCAAGAGTGACAGCAGTGATTGCTGGTTCAGAGACCGTGCTTCCATCTCAGAAGCAAAGTTCAGAGCTGCTTTTTAATTTTTTTTAAATGGATAATGCAAATTAAGTGCGCTGTTAACAGCACCACAGATCTGAGTATCCTGAAACAGGTATTAAATTATAAATGACTTATTTTTAACAAAAACAAAACTGTGGAACATAATTTAGAACAAGTACTGGGTGAAGACCTTCCCCCACACCCGCCACACTGACTTTTATTTCCATATCATAGTATAGACTTTTAAAGGGAGGAAAACAAGTGTAGACTTCAAAGCACCTTTTTCTTCAGTTTGTGTATGCCTTGAACATTGCTTTTGATCCTTTTTCTATTCTCAGCACTCTGTGAACCTTCCCAGTCTCACCCTCTTCACAGTGAAGAGGCTTTGGGTGACTTGATTTCCTGTATAATGATACTTGTGCTTGCCAGTGTGTTTTAAAAAGCTGAATGCAGCTGTAGGCTTTTCTCCTGCATTGTCTGTCATAATGATAAATGCTACTTAATAAAACCTTCTTTCTCTGAAGTGTGGGAAGAAGGATGAATTATAGCTGAAGAAATTTACCACGTCTTCCTTGAAAATGAGCACTAGGTGGTGTTTAGTAGCATCGTAGTGGGATTAGGCTGCTCCTATTGCCCACAGTGCTGCTGGGGTATGGAAGGATGTTACAGAGAATCAGAACAGGACCCACACGTTTGAGAAAATTGCTAATTGTCTCTTGTTCTCTCTTTTTCCACATCTTAGTTCCTCCATTTCTGTTGTACTTTGCCTAGATTTTTTGTGTATATGGAAGTGTCCAGTTGCTCAGCTAGTGTATCAGAGCCACACTTTGATTCTGAGGGGGCTTATCCTCCATTCCATTGAGGGTTTTTCATTAATTTGATTCCAGCTGAAATAGTAGTGTTGGCATATTTATTCTTCATCATTGTTCTTATATATAAAAATTCTTAGATATTAAAAGCCCAGGAAACAGTTTGCCCACATCAGTTATTGAAGAACAAAGTGGGTAAACATGGAAGTGGCTTCAGCATTATCTCAGACTTTTCTGATGAAAAATAGGATTCTATTTACTTTTGTTGAAGTAAAAATAAAAGTAAAATATAAGTTTGCATGTGCATACAAATGTTTTAACCAGCCTGAATATACATCCTCCATATATGAATCAGATTTTCTGTCTGCAGTAAATTATAAAGTTCTGCTCAGCTCTGTACAAAGAGAGAAGTCATCAAACCAAATTGTCATTGTTTCACATGCTGGAATATTCTCATATATTTTATTGTTGGCTTACATTTGTTTTTCTGATCATAGGGGGAAAATGCCTTATAAGATGATGGGCACAATGATGTCTTGGGTGAAACAAGATGTTGCTGAAAGCCCTTTGTATGCCTTATTCTAATTGTGTTTATACCCCAACAAATATGAAGCTAAACTACAGATACGGATTTAGGAGACAGTTTTACAGATCTGGAGAGCCTATATTTGTCATGTTAACTGTATTTAATAAAAGGCCCTCAAAAATAAAAGCATTAACTTGAATCTATCAATTCAGAAGAATAAATGTGTAAAGTTTTGAATGAGATGTTGGCTGGTGTAAAGCTATGGAAAACATGTTAAGTGTGCTTTGAGAAAATAATTTGTTTCATCCATTAGGTAAAACTTGTATGCAAAAATGAATTTTCTGGCTATTTCAGGAGTTTGGGTAAATGCAAACAAAAGGAGATTAAAGTGTGAAGATGAAGGAAATGCCAGTTCCTATGGAAGCATGAAATATTTAAAATACCTGGCTCACAGGTGAAGGTAGTGTTTTTATAGCAGTTGCCTCTTACACCCTTTTCTCCCCCATCAGTGCTTAGTCATCTCTGCAGTTCTTCTAGCTGGATGTCACAATATAACTACCGAACAAGGTTTCAGAGTTGGTTCCATTCTGCTCCAGTTGCTTCTCAGTACTACAATTGTCAGTGTGTGCTGCTCAGCTTCTACCTGCCCACATTTCTACTGGCCAGCTGGAGTGCATCAGCTACATCTTGCAGAGCTTCTATAGCCTCAAAATGCTTCCTGTCTCCCTGAGAATGGTCAAAATTACACCAAAATCTTCCTGTGCAACTTCTGCCTTCCCAGGTACCTGAATACTCCCACAGTGTCTATACAGCCATGTGGCCAGCACCTGTTTCATGACAAAGCCACCATCCCTTCCAGGAAATTGCCAGCTTTAAGGAAAGAAGCAAGAAAATTAGTGAGCATGCATTTAGTTGTCTGTTACCTTTCGCAAATACTCTTCAGGTACTCAAGGGACCCTAGAGCAGAACATCTCTGGCATCTGTGGGACTGCTGGACATTCACCAGCAGAGTCCTGTGCAAAGGCTGGAGCTTTGCCTTCCTGTTTCCTGCCTTAGCAGCTTTTTCTGCTGGTCTAAGTAGAAACCTTAGAGAAGATATGCTGAGGAAAAGTGCCAGATCTTGAAAGGTGACAGAAGGACTAAAACTGAATCCTTTGTGAACATGAAGCTTGATGTGTCTTGGTAACTTGTGCTGGCAGCCCAGTAACACAAGTGCCCTGGGCTGATCCTCCAGCTCTGGTATCCCCAATACAAGAAAGGCCTGTTGGAATTAGTCCAAAGGAGGCCACAGAGATGCTGGAGCCCCTCTGCTCTGGAGACAGGCTGGAAGAGCTGAGGGTGGTCACCTGGAGAAGGCTCCAGGGAGACCTTAGAGCCCCTTCCAGGACCTAAAGGAGCTCCAAGAGAGCTGAGAGGGACTTTGGACAATAGCCCTGAGTAACAGACAGGACAGGGAGGGATGGCTTTAAGCAGAAGAAAGGTAGATTTAGGTCAGATATTATGAAGAAATTCTTTACTGAAGAACAATTGGCACAGGTTGCCCAGAGAAGCTGTGGCTGCCCATCCCTGAAAGTGTCCGGGTTGGACAGGGCTTGAAGCAACCTGGTATAGTGGAAGGTATCCTTGCCCATGTTTTAGGATGGGCTTTAAGGTCCCTTGCAATCCAAACCATTCCGTGATGAAACAGGCATAAACGTCTCCCTTTCAAAGCGTTCCAAGGGCCTCCATTTCTTCACACAGGGCTGTTGGAGCCGCAGGGCTCCTTACTGCTGCCAGCAGGTCCTGCTGCTGTGCACGTGGCTCAGGTGTGCAGGCTGGGGAGCGGTGGGATCGCTGTGTGTGCGGGCGGGTTTGCGATGGCCGGGAGCGCCGTGCGAGGCCGGGGCCTGCCCG